AGAACCATTCTTTTTCGAGTCCTGACGCAAAAACTTTCTGCCGGTCTGCTAGTCCACAATCTACATTAGCATGTGTTTACTACCGTGGCTTGTGTTTTGTGAGACAGTCACGCACATGGTAGCTGCGCTGTGACGTGAAATGGGCATTAGCCAATGAAACGCGGCCCCTGTGGTAAGGTCCGTTGCGGGTTTTAGTGACTGCTTACTCCCACATATAGGGGGCAGTATTTCTTACTTCTACTACACCACTGCCTCAGCCTACTTGATGGGAAGATAGTCTGTGATCCATATGGCGAAGAAGGTCACATTTACCGCCAGACATAAGCGCAAATATCGCAAAATGTCTTGCAAATATTTCTAAATTAGCTTCACAAAAAAAATCACAAAAACAATCATGAGGTAGTGATCCATGTGGTGAAATGTTCAATATTATTTACTTCTAGAACGAACTTATTGAATGCAGACACGGCTATTTGAGTTTTATCAGTTCATTCTGTTACAGCATGATGAAGATGTGGCCCAAAATGAAGATGAGTTTGAAGATGAATAAGTGTTTACATGAACACTGAAGTCCTAAATGGCATATGTGTGTCATATTATTAGTTTTTTAGATAACAAATATATCAACACAAGCTGGATATTAAGCTTCCAAGGCAGCAATCTAAGAGAAACGCAACAACAAATGAAAATCCCCATTGACTGGTGACCTTTAAAATGGTAATACCCTGCTCCATCCATCCATCCGTCCGTCCGTCCGTCCGTCCGTCCGTCATCTCCAAGGTATTTCTGCTCTGACATGTTCTGGATCTCCAGAGAGGCTGCCTTCATCCTGTATACATGCTGGTAGTACGAGAGGACAGACAGTTTTGTGCAATTTAATATTTGCCGTGGGAAAGATCATTCAGCGACAAGCCGTCCATCATGAAGACAGCAGGAAGCAGTCATTGTCTGGAAGACGGCACTCTGTGAAAGCAGTTTTCATGTCTCAATAGATGCGTTTTTTTTTCTTTCTTCTCCCCACCAAAGCAGTTGCAGTTTTAAGTCTGACTGATTGTGCGAGAACCAATTTTAATTAGATTTTCCTCCAAAGCTCCACTCCAGAGCCTCATCGTTACACTATGATGCATTAAAGCAGCTTTTTGCAGTAAATGTTTGAGCCTTTCTTTGTTGTGTTCTGAGTTTCTGCAGGGCACTGCAATGCAGAGATGGGGGTAATCGACTTGAATCGCATTATTTAAGCAGGTTGTCAAACACACCAACAATGTTTCGCTGTATTCTAATCTTAAATGTTTTTCCATCATAATTAGCAGAAATAAAGATTTTGAAATATCCATCTGTGCGTGACTAATCTATATGATGTGTTTCATTTAGTGAATTACAGAAATAAATGGACTTTTCAGTAATTCTACCAGACATGTCAGAAAAAACACACACAGTCCTGTAGAGCGTCTTTATCATGAGCTTTTATCATTTTGCTCACAGAGATCCGCTGCCCAAAGCTCAACATGCTGGCTAACGGAGGCTACAAATGCTCGGACGGCTCCTACTACAACTCTCGCTGCGAGTTCTTCTGTTCTGCTGGATATTCCATGAAAGGCCAGAAAACATCCGTCTGCCAGTACAACAAGGTGTGGAGCGCCGGAGTCCCCACATGCATCGGTAAGACTGTGATTGTATTTGATAAATTTGCTGCTTTAAGCGTGGCCAGAGGATTTCTACAAGATTTCACAGATTTTTCTTGAAACGCCTCGTCAGTTCCAGGGCTTTTATTTTTTTTTTCCTGATTATCTGATCGATGCTTGGAAGAAAGCAGACCTCTAGACACGAATCATCTTTCACAGACAAACCGAAACAGGCAGGCAGCATTTTTCTTTTCCATTCACTGGAAAATTACACTATTTTCACTTCTTGCACAGAGTCAGAGATGAAAATGAGTGAGAGATGAAGGAGCTACGTTTTGATGAACACATCAATGAAAGAACAGGTTTGCAACTGCAGTCAGTGTTTTTTTTTTTTTTTTGATGCTTGTACAGACTGCACTACAGCCAGCATGTACTGAGAGTGTGTTGAAGATTTAACATTGAGTTTTCTACTTTTTTGTCTACAAGGACACTAAGAAACATCCCTGTTTTCACTTTATGATTCATTTGCTTTTGTGTTACACTGGAAGGTTCTTTGACATGTTTCTGATTTCGCCAACATTTCCCTGGATGATTATGTTTGTTTAACGCGACAAACCGCCCGGGAGTTTTTGCTCCAGCACAAAGACAAATGAGACGAATGAGAATGCACACTCACCCAGTCAAATCTGTATCTGCATTTAGCAGAACATGAATATTTCAGAGTGTGGAATCATGCTGGAGAAAATAAAATGAACCCTTGGAGACACACAGAGAGAGAGACAGCATAAAACAGAGAGCGTGTTTTAGTGCAAACTATCTACAAACATGCAAATTTTTATTTATTCATCTAAATAGTGAGAAATAAATACATTAATATTCCTGAGTTTCTATATTTGGGCTTTTTAATTAAATATGCCATCATGTAGCAACTTTAGCTACAGTAACTCACAAAAATAATTAACCTTTTTTTAATTTTAGCTGTGTTCTGCATTTTCTTTTATTGGGATTTTATGTGATGGACCAACACAAAGTGGAACAAAGCTATGAAACACGAGGAAATGTAAACAGGATCCCACATCTGCAAAACTACCAAGACGTCTGGCTTTTATAGAAATGTGGTTAGAGGAAAGTCATTACCTGGTGCTGGCAGCATCATGCTGTGGAGATGGTTCGTTTTTCTTTAGCAAGGACAGAGGTACTACTTAGAGCTGATGTGATATGGTGAATAAAAACAGGCAAACGCTGGAAGAAACCCTGTTAGCTCTGACAGGATTAGCGTTAGTGCTAACCCTAACATCAACAGAGCAAAGACTCTGAACACCGCCATGAGTAAACTATAATAAATTAGTTTAGGATCAGTGCGTAACCATGAGTTAAAATGGTCAAGTCAAAGTCTTGGCCTATATCAAAACTATCATTTCTGACAAGAAACGTTCACAGATGCTGTCAATTCAGTGTAACTGAGCTTCAGCTGTTTTGTCAACAGACGTAGGCAAGAATTTCTGTTTCTATACACGCAAAGTTGGAGACACTTCCAGATGGACAAAAGACATTAAGCGTGTCTCTATTGTTTTTATTATACTACATAAAATTGAAGTTAGTGGCTGAAACTTGAAATAATGTGATCAAATTGAACACTTTTGTTTATCACTAGTGACATTTATGTGCATAAGACAGAAGGCCAAATTCTGTCTTGTTATTTTTTTTGCTTTGTGCTGCCTACCGTTATCGGTGAACCATGCACGCTCATGTGGATGAAAAAAGGATTAGATAAAGATCTCTTTCTTATCTGTTTGTAGATATTGATCCCCCGAAAATCAAGTGTCCCAATGTGAAGGATAAATGGGCAGAACCAGGAAAACTGACGGCGAGGGTGACTTGGGACACACCTGAGGGCGTCGACACTGCAGACGGCATCCTCACAGAGTCAGTCCGGACGTAACCCTTTGATTCCTTTAAGACCTTTTCTCTTCAGACTCAGCTTAAATCCTGTTTATAAACTGGTCAGAGATCAGAGTATAAGATTAAAACTCAGCATGGGCTTTCCAGTGTGACCCTGAAAGGGAAACCACCGAAATCCGACTTCCCAGAAGGCCTTCATAAGATGTCCTACAGCGTGTTTGACCGGGCCGGGAACAAAGGGTCCTGCCGCTTCACCATCAGAGTGCGAGGTGAGCCTGAGACAGCAGCTTGAACAGAGCTGCTTTTTTATGTACCTACAGAAAAATACACAGATCTATATTTGAGCTTTTACGTCTGACCATTAAGCTAATGTTGATAACAAGCCGATAGGACATAAAAAGCTGATTTGTAATGAAGATTATTTAAATGTTAAGGAAATTAAGCTACTCAAACCAACCTACTCCACTGTAAAAACGTATTTACTTTATTTTTCAATGTCCATGAAATGTCAGTCAGTGCACCAAATAAGACAAAAAGACAGAAACAAATACTTTATCTTATGGGGAAAATTACATTTTGTGAAATAATGACCATTTACATGGATTTAATGAGTGTTTTTTTAAAATTACACATATACAAGTATTTATCTATACAAGATTAAATATTTATAGAAATGGATCAATTTCAATATATATTTTGTTCTTTATGCAGAACATTCACTGTTTTGACTTGATAAATGTCTTAGTTTGATAAAAGTCTTACAGAAGTTAAAGACCCGTGACTGTTTATTAAAAAAACTGTCACAGCAAACTAATTAGCTGTTCTTGTTTCAGTGTATTTGAATAATATTCAGTTTATATGTTTGGAATTATTAGAAAAAAGTCTCAATTCTCAGTATTTGTGTTTTGTGTAAAAAAAAAAAACAAAAAACAAAATAAAACACACAAATACTGTTTTTGGATGCAAAATGTTATTTTTAATTGCCAACCTGTTTAATCCTGGCTGCTGCTCCTCTTCCGTGTTCCCGTCTTTGCACAGTGCGTCGCTGCAGCCGCCTGTTCCCTCCAGACAACGGCTACATGAAGTGCGACAGTGACGGAGACAACTATGGCGCTTCTTGTCACTTCTCCTGCACCGGCGGCTCCGAGCTGCAGGGCAGCGCTGCCAGAGTGTGTCAGTCTGGACTCTCCTGGTCTGGTTTAGACACAACGTGTGCACGTATGTACCGCTCAACACGCAAACAACCAAAGCTGTTTTAAATTTAAGCTGAGTGTATTATTATATCTCTTCTTGCATGTGTTCAGTAGTCATTGAGGTTACAAACAATTAGTCCAACTAAAAGCTTTGGGTTAAAAAATGGGACATGGAAGTAAACTCCAAACCTAACATGCTATAAAAAGTAACAGGTTCCGTTTTTGTGACGTATTTGTATGCGTGGATATTTAATATAAATTTTAACTTGACTGGAAAATGTAAGAAAAGCTAAATTAACAAAAGAGAAGAAAAGACCAGTTTTATATTCTATAAAATATAAGTAAACATACACTTTCTACTGAGGATTAATTTGGACACTTTCACATTTATTCCTACTGGAAATGAATCATTCCATGTGATTAGAACATAAACACTGAGGTTTTTGAAGGAGTTTGTCTGCTAAACATTCATTGTGAGATCTAAAGGTCTGTCTGAAGCCTTCAGGAAGACAACAGGAGTAAACAGACCTTAAAACAAACAGTCTACAAGCAGAGGACATTTGAAAGAGCTACAAACATCCCCCGAGTCTTTAAGTTCAAACGCAACCATCCTAAAAATAGTGTATTAATTTGTCCACAATTCTGCTTGAAAAATCCAGAAAACTAAATGTGGGAAAGTTTAGAAATTTGAAACAGAACATAGGAACCAAGCTAAAAATTGGATTATGTAAGATAATTAATGTATTCCTAGTATTCCTCTTTAACATACCTTTTTACAAGTTCATTTGATATTCTTTGTAATGAATTAAAAATGCTCTTCATGCACTGTAATGTGCATGAAGCTGTGTGTATGCTACAGGGGCGAATTGTGCAGCTTTTCCATTGTGTTTTCCAGAAGTGAGGGTTAAGGGGTTAAAGTCTTGCTTACAGTCTCATCTCAAGGTTTGCGCCCCTTCAAAATTATATTTAGTGACCAAATAAGTGAACCGTCACATTGTGTGAGGTTATTTATTTGGTAGGACTAATAAAGGAATAGTTCAAGAGCTAATTTGGAGAAGTCCTGGATCCAGATTCAGCATTTTTCTTTTTGTACGTGTCAGTCATTTCTGATATTGCGGTCTCTCTATGGATTTGGAGGCTCGGTGGAGGAGAAAATAGCAGCCTGTCCATCGATTTTAAAAAAATCCATAGCGAGTTCATTCTGTTTCACACTCGTCTGTGAGGCAGGAAGAAGCTCCTCATCGTCGGCCTTAATTATGCAACGCCTCACACTGACACTGTGTGGTAATAAGTATTCACCTTCATGTACTCTCCTTCATATACTGACTTAATTTTGCGTTCGATGTCATCGCAGCCATGAACATAAATGTGGGGGTGCGTTCGGCCGCGGCGCTGCTGGACCAATTCTACGAGAAGCGGCGGCTCCTCATTATCTCTGCGCCGACGGCTGCCAATCACAATTACCGTTTCCAGATGACTAACCTGCAGGTGAGGCACGACTCGGGCGCACACACACACTGGAGCAGGAAAGCAGCGCGGATAAAGACGACTGCGGTGTGTTTGAGTTGTTTTTAATCTCAGCACAACAATTGAGAAGAAGGAGAGGGCGTCAAGCTGATGATCAGGAGATGTCTCAGCGATGAATAAATGATAGTGACACAGCTCTGTGAGTGGTGTTGTTTTCCTCCACGACGTCAGAAACCATTAAGTCAGAGCTTTGTTTAAACCCCTGACCTTTTCGATTCAGCTTATGAGTCGAGAGACTTAATCGGTGTTAGTTCATCAACGGGTCCACTGGTCAGTCCGGTTGCTAATCCTCTAGTTTGATTATAACAGATTGATTGTTTTTAGATTTCCTGTCAGATATTGAGCCATTTTTAAACTATTCCTAAAAAAACAAGGGATTGTTGGGTCGTTCTTTAATTAGTGATTCAAAAATGTGTCTTAAATTAACACTGATTAGGCCTTGTTTATTGTTAACTAGAGAGAGTTTGTTCAAGGAGAGTCACATGACAGATCTGGTGTGGATTAAGTATAAGACGCACAATTACATGTGATTCCTCATACAAGTAATTTATGTAAATGCAATGTCTTCCCTCAGAGTTGATTGGATTGATTAGATTTTATCTATCAGGTGTCGGATCCTCATTAGGTCGTCACTCTGCAAAGATAAATAAAACCCCACAGACCTGTTCAATATGGTGCAGAGATGCACAGATCATAATGAGGCCACATATTTTCACAACTCTGAACTGACATTTTGCACATCTGTCTCCACTTCAGTATTCTTTAAGCACCGCTCCACCGCCTGCCGAAGCCGCTGTGTGAAAAACTCCTTATTTCTCTTGACTGGAGCTCCAGGTGTCTCCTCCTACATGTTTGTTCTGCGTTGTGTGTCATCCCGTGCTCATGTCCAAATCGACATAACATCTGCACATAAATTACCACACATCTATTCTGCAATTCAAACAATTGATAAATAGAGTAGAATAGAAACAGCCTTTATTGTCCTGCAAAGGGGAAATTCAGGTGAAACGATAACATCAGGTATAAAGGTGCACACGCAATAAAAACATTTTTTGAAATGTTGAAAACAATATATAAAACAAATGAAGCCAATGTTACTACTTAAACATATGCAGCAGAGGTTATTTAATTTTTTTAAAAGTGTAACATCCACTGTAATTCCATATATTGTGTGTTTTTTTTGTTTTTTTTGTAAACAGAGCGAATAAATCCAGCTGCTTTAGTTTTTGCAGAAAATTAGACCAGCTTTCGACGATCTCAGGACAGACACAAATCATGTTTGTCCAAGTATGGAAAAAAAAAAGAATAATATTTATGTTTTCAGCCTTTTCTTTTTTGGTTTTTGGAAACAGGAAATCCCAAACATTTTAGAAATGGATAGCCAAAGAAAATGAGGGTAAATTTTGATGGGTTAATCAGGTTCGACAGATGGATAATCACATTTTGATCAATAACAGCAGGTTTAGTGACATGACATGAGGATCTTAGTTTTTGAGCATATCAGGTTTACGGTGCGATGGCCGGGAATCAGATAACTAATTAGTTTTTGTTGTGACGTTTGATGACTATTTCATCCATTTATGTCCATTTCCGTTGCAAAAATCTACTTTCTTCTTCATGTTAAGTGATGCAAAGTGGCGCAGTTGTCAGCTCTGTAGCTTCGCAGCTAGAAGGTGATGGACTGGTGACCAGTCGATGTCGTAAGTTTCATACGGCGACCAGTGGAGATGGGCACCAGTGACCCCGTTTAGACGACAGGCAGAGAAAGGTTCAGTTTGGATAAAACCCTCACACACAACAAAGCACAACCCATTTTTAAGAATAATTTACGTGACAGAATCCCACAGTTGCATAAATAAATAAACTTATTGGCTTTTGCCGTGTCACACAATGTGTTTCTGTTTCATTAAAGGAGTAATTGCTCAGCCGTATACTTGTCTCTTTGTCACAGATGGGGAGCAAACACAACATTATGTTGTTATAGACGGTATTATTACGGCATTATCCAGGAGGCTCATGTCCAGCTGGTTAAACATAATTATTTGCAGCTAATTATAGGTCTGAAATATAACAGTTCAGCTTTGTTTTCCAGCTGCATCTGACTAGATAAAATTAGTGTTTATTGTTGGCATGATGTTAAGCAAATTATTATTAACATGCTTTCATTCAGCTCTGAGGATGCAGCAGCTGGTTGCTTTACATCCTTTAAATAAAATTCATTTTCTTTAATATCATAGAGAAGATTAAAACCACCTTACAGAACCCAATGGCTTTTTTAATGAGATTTTCTTCATAAATGAAAGAAGGGGAAGAATATTTCTCATGAAAATATAATTTCCCTTCATTGTCAACATTTCTTTTAATACAGCAGGCACAATGAAATAATAATAAAAAAACATCTTCTTTCCTGAAGATATTTTTGTTTTGTTTTTTTGGATTAACAGAATAATTGGATTACAAACAGTCTTTAATAAGAGATTTATTCAGAATATGAACCGGGTAGAGCTAAAACTAGGCCACTGGGTAAAGCTAATTTTCATATATATATATATTCTTTTACAGTTTTTGGCTTCCTTAACGCTCTAGCTGTGTTAATCTTTCGGGTCCATATACTCCAGTTAATGATAAATCAATTACTAAATTAGTTGACGATTATTTCAGTAACTGTTTTATCGTGATTAATCGTTTTAGCCCTGGTAAGATCTCCAGTTTCTCACCTCCATGTGACTCAGTAGCTGTGTAACATGTGGATCTTTGTCCCAGCCCGCTCAGTGTGGACTGGACCTGAGACACGTCACCGTCATTGAGCTGGTCGGGACGTATCCAGCTCAAGTTGGCCGAATCCGCCACAGGCTTCTCCCGCCTGGACTGGCCCTGCAGATCAGGTACTGACACACACACACGCAATCGTGGGTAACCTCGGCAAACATGACTTTAATCCGGCATGCGTTTCCTAGGATACTGCTCCGGATCCCTCAGAGGTCGTTCCACATGGTGCTGGTGGACAAGCAGGGCATAGACAAACAGCGCTACCCGTTCCCCATCACGGCAGCTGAGCTGTTCACCACCATCGACACGTTTCCGCTCCGCAAGGACGAGATGCTGCTGCAGCAGGAGGCGGGCCAGTTCTGTCAGTCGTAAAAAACAGGAGCCTCCCTTCGTGGAGCGTTGATCTTTTTTGTTGCTCCACAGACACACGCAGCTCAGATCATCGTGTTTTGTGCCACACACTCCTCTCTGAAGTCCTCCTGTCCTGTATCCAGTGTGTGTTTATGTGTGTTTCTGCGTGTGATCAAAGATGTCTGGCATGTTGCTGATCTGAAGCTGGTCTGAGCAGATCACACGGTGCTTTGCAGTCACATCCAGGGCCGTCACTGTGTGTTTTATTTTATTTTTTTATACATTTTTTCAGAGCAGAAATATGATTTACTATTTTGTAAAAAAAAAAGAAAAAAAAAATAAACTTTTGGAAAATTTCTATTCTTTGTAATATTTATATCTTACATCTGACTTTGCGATGTACTTTGAATTCATAAAACTAATAAAAAGTGAGTAATGCGGAGGTTGCGCTTCTCGGTGATGTTTGTTGTGAGTCAGTTTAATTTATTTCTGTGGAGAAATCTCCGTCATCATGATGTCATTTGGGTTTGTTAGTCAAAAAAAAAAAAAGATTGCATTTGACTCAGAGGTTTGCCATGTGTTAAACTGAAATGGTTGGTATAGAAACGTGTTTATAATTTTCAAACCCACTGCTTTTGTGGCTTTGTCATTTTACCTGACACACACACACCTTGTAAACCTTGTAAACGTACAACAAATACATTTCAGTGCATTTTATGTGACCGACCAGCAAAAATGAGCACCCATGAATGTAACTGAAGTAGATTTTCAATTAGATTGAATCTGGACTTTGACTGGGCCACTTTAACAGATAATCTGAACCATTTAATTGTAGCTCTCTGGCTGCAGGTTTAGGATCGTTGCTCTGCTGGATGATGAAACTCAGAATCGGCTCTTTTGGCCAAGATTGTGTGCAAAAAAAAAAAAAAAAGAATTTAAATTTTGCCTCCGACATTCCCAGCATGAAAGAATGAAGTGTGTATAAATATATAAACTTCAGAGGAAATAAAACAAAAGATAAAAGAAACATTTACATTTATATGTATGTACAGGCAAGTTCTCCCAACTCCAAGTCTTTTGCAGCTTTCTGCTGGTTTTCTTCTAACGTGACAGTTTCACCATCACTGCTGAAAAAAAAACACACATCCACAGCATGACGCTGCTGCCACTGTGCTCTATTATGCAGATGACATTAAAGAAGATGTTCAGTGGAAGAATTACACCACCGATGGCTTTTTTGCGTCTAAAAGATGTTTTGGCTTCATTGAAGCAGAAGACTTTCTTCAACGTACCGGCTGTTTCCACAACATATTTATTTTTGGAGTTTTTTTCTTCCAAAACGTCTCTCTTCTTTCCACTCCTAAAGCCCAGATTCACACTGTGCACATAAAAGAAAATGCTGCCATCTGAGCTTTGGACACCTAAGTTTCACACTAAATGCTACTACTATTAATGGTCCAGTTTGGGTGAATGACCGTGGCCATGCACTATTTTAAGATATTTAACTTTTTGTCATTAGATTCTTAGACCTAGAAAGGTTGGTTTGCAGCCTAACTCTGCTTTAAACTTTTCTCCAACGCTATTTGTTGTGTTCCCTGTTCTTCATGATGCTGTTTCTTGTCGAACAAACCTCCCAGACCTTTGCAGACCAGCTGGATTTATATTGTGTTAAAACTTTACCCAGGTGGAGTCTGTTGATCTGGTGACTTCTGAACGCAATTAGTTTTCCACTGGATTTTGTAGGTGCTTTGGGTGGCAGATAAATATGGATGCCACAGAGTTTTTTTATTTGTAAAAATTCACGTGTCCTTGTACTTCAGCTTTACACTGTGGCAAATATACTTTCAAGATGAAAGAATGACTTTAGAGCGAGAAATGGCTCCTGCTAATTAAGGCAGCGAAGAGGTTCCTGTGCTTTTAAATGGCAAATATTAAATGCATCAAATATCAAACGTGCCACAGATGTAACAACAGATGTAACCACAGATGGGCTTTCTTTATTTTGCCTGCATCAAGCTCAGAAAAAGGTCGGTATGCTGTTATAGACATTTTTCTGCCCAGGGTGGTTATAGCTAAGGCATCAGCTATCTTCACGTCATGAGAAATGAATCGGACCTTTTCTTTTTTTTTGGTTACATGACTAATGCATGATTGTAACCTTTTTATGCATTCATCTTGTGCTGTGATCTGGGGATAAAACTGGAGCTAAATAAGGGAAATAAATGTCACAACAGACTTGTTGGGTTAACGCCTGAAAAATTATTTCCATTTAACCACCACCTAAAACACGACAAGCACAAATCAGTCAGGTATTTTTCTGTTCTTTATAATACCAGTAATATTCTCCAGAAAGCAATCAAACCATCTTACAGACTATGGAAAGATGCATTTATTTCAAAATATTCTCAAAGCACATTTGGGAGAAAATAAGCTTTTGAAAGGTGAGTTTGATGATCAGAACCAGACACAAGAGAGGATGGTACATGCAGTACATAAATATTTTCCTCTGTTTTGAGACTTTGCATGAGATTCTCTGTCATGCTAAACGGTCAGCACATGAATTTTAGTTATTGTTACTTTGCGTCTGGGAGTTTAGAGCAGACGTTTACAGAGAGAGACCCGGGGAATATAACGAGCATTCCACATGAAATGAAGGTTTTTGTTTTTTTGTTTTTGTTTTTTATATCTGGAAATGTTTCGGTGAACTGCAGAACGCATCGCAGAACGAATGATCACAGTGCCCCGGGCAGCAATGACAAGGTCAGCGTCTGATTATCAGTGGCTCATGATCGGCCCCCACCCCCTCCCTGAGATGATGGCAGCTCACGTCGGTGCTGACTCACTGTGTGACACGCAGACCCGGCTCAGGGTTCCTGAGAACACGCTGCAGATCACACCTTCTCCTCTAGGTGCAAAGTGATGTCAGCATCAGTGCTTTGTGTAGCCTTCTTGTTCCTCTCTACCCTAACGAACACACTGATACAGTGTTATGTAACTTTACAAGAAAAAAAAAAAAAAAAGCTAGTCTAGATTTCCAAATCAGACAAAACTTTGGGCCACATTTTATATATTTGCTTTAAAACCAGAGGGGGGAGGGGGAAAGCAGATAAACTCATTTATAACCCCACTGTTTAATAAACCAGCAGCTGGTGCTTACATTATTACTTACTGTATTGGTTTCATTTTGATTATTAAAGAGTGTATACATGGTTTGAAGTCCTGACATAAGAAAACATCAAAATTACTGCAATTACTTTTTAAAACTGATGTTTCCTTCTCGCGATTTAGCTTGCAAATTCTCAAGAATTAGTGGGAAAAATCATTTTTGATTAAGCTTTTGCTTTTAGGGGGGTAACTAGCTTGTCAAGATTTTTGCTCTTTACTTATGACAGTCTTCTGTATTTTTGTTTCTCTCTTACAACCAGGAGCAGCTGGTTAACATCTCAAAATCTCAAATAATACCTGAACTTTATCTAAGAGCTCATGTCAAAGTAAACAGAAGACAGGATTCAAAAGGGCAACCATAGGTGTCCAGGATTTTGTGCACACGATAATTTAAATTTTGAAGAAAAAAAAAAGATACACGTGAAAAGAAATGAGTAAATCAGAAAAGTTGCATTGAGCACTTTGAGAACTGACTGGTTTTATTCCGTTTCCTGGGTAGCTGGAGCTGTTCGTTGTTCTACACTTGGCAATTTTCCCAGCATCTAAATTTTGAACTAATATTTAGCATTTTCTTTACACTGCCATTTTTTTTATTTATTTTTACTGTCAGGAGAAATTTGTGTCAAGTTAATTCACATCATCAAATGCAACAATAACTACAAAAAAAAAAATAAAAATAAAAAATGTCTTCCAAGATATTTTCCAAAAATGTAGCTTAAGAGTTTTTCTGGCTCCAGTTTTCATCAATGCAAGATGTTTATGTTCTTCACAAATCTTACTGGGGTTTTCTACAGTAAGTTCTCTGGTTTCTTCTACTGTCCAGAATGATATTAACCTTAGAAAGGAGGGTGTATGAATATATGTATCATATATCCTCTTGTAAAAGATTTAGCTGCTTTCCCCCTCAGTGTGCATCACCGGCAATGAGATATATACAAGCAACAAGACTTTGTTGCTCATAGAGGGAATGTTTATATATATAAATATATATAGTATTAACCAATGCCTCATCTAAAACACCTTTAATCATTTCGATTAGCTGTTACTACATGCAGGAACGACCCACAGACGAGACGAGGACGGAGACATTAGGAGGAACCATGTGCTTATCTATAAGTTACACAAAGTTAAATACAACACGGGTTTCCTAAGAACAGCAGCAAACGGCAGCAATGCTTTGTCAAGACAGATGCTTTGGGAGGAAAGAGGGGCACATGTGGGTGAGAGAGTAAGGCATGACTGGTTGTGGTGGACAGGAGAGGAGATCTGAGCAAGAAAGGAAGAAAGAAAGCACAAAGAGGAGCGGTTCCAGTTGAGTCACTGCTTGCTTCTTTTCTTGACCGATCGACCTCTCCAGCTCTCTCTCCACAACTTCAGGCCGCTTCCTCTGCTTCTTTCCCTCCCTGTAATTCGCTCCTCCGTTGTGCTGCGGTCTAAGTTCATGTGCTGCACTTGCGCATGGTCGACCGCAGCATCAGAGTGCACTCTTGAGGAACCTCTGGGTTTTCAATCATGCGCTGCCAGACCTGCTGCTCTTCCCCGTACGAGTCCATCCAGTCCACCGCGTTGCCATAGCTTTTGCCTGCAGGAAAACGAGACAAATATTTGGTTCAGCTTGTTGGAGCGTTTAGAGATCCCAGAGGATGTTAATGTGTTCCATTAACTGAAAAACAATATTTACGTTTTTGATGGTTTTGGTTAAATTACATCAGCAGGTATAAAACAAACTATGTCACATGTTTTAAAGTCATGTTTAAAAATCTGCTCCTAGTTTTGATCTAAAATGTCGCATCTAATTCTCAATATAACTTCATTACATTTTACCATCAAAAACCTTTATGTATTTTACTTGGTTTCATGCAGTTTTTAGAAATTGTACTCAAGTACATGTAAGTCAACTTATTTTTAATTGAGTAAAAGTTAGAAGTATCCAAGATGTCAGTGCAACTTTTTTGATTACATGCAAAATGGATTATGGTGGAAAATTAGCACTGAAACACAGCAGTGATGCTTTTCTACATCAGATTTGATTGGAATATAACGGAAAATCCTGGAAGAAACTGGTAAAATACTTTTACCAGGCTTTTGACCCCAAGGAATAGCTTAAATTAAAGCATATTTATGTGGCCCAGTCAAAGCCCAAATCCAACTGATAGTATGTGGCAATTGATGTTCAGAGTTGCTTTCCATCCAGTTTGGCAGCTGAGGCCGTCTCTCAAACATAACCAAAAGCTTGCACAATAACAAAGCTGAATATCTCAAGGGCTTGAAAGGCACA